ATATCAGCATGCATAAATAGGCATTCATACATGCATGCATATAGAGACATTCATTCATACATGCACATAAATACATATGGGTTTCCATTTGAGCAGGCATACATGCATTCATTCATCCATGATCCTATACATCCATTTGTTGCTTATCTGTCTCTAATAAGATTCAAAGTTTTAGTTGTACTTGTCCTTTAATCCTTGTCATGTTGTTGTGTTTGTTGGGCACTGGGCCTTGACTTTGGGTCAAGGGCACCACAGTTAACTCCTGCTTCCCAACTGACCATTGGGGAGGTTAGAGAATGGGACTTGTTGCTAGCTTGTTAGAGTTGCGATGAGTACCCGTCCCTGTAAAGTGGGTCTGATTGTTGTATCTTTAATTAATTAAAGTGGAAAATAAATAGCCTCATCCACAAGGCATAACCCAATTGGAAAATGCAAAGAAATGTAAAAAAAGTTGGGTAAAAACCTACCTTTAGCCCTTTATCTTCATAAATTTGTAGGTTTTAGTTTCTCACCTTATATTATGACACTTTTAGCCCTTCACCTATATGAATTGAAAAAAATAGCCCTTATTTAATGTCATGTTAGCTGACTGTTAGTTTTGTTAATTTACTGTTAGCATTCTGTTATAGAAAATGTGAAATTTAAATTCAATTTTATTTATTAGTTTTGTTAATAAAATGCTAATAGTGAGTTAACAAAGTTAACAATCAGCTAACAGAACTAACAGTTATCTAATAGAACAAATAATCAATTAACAAAATTAACAAAACGTTATAACCTTTCGTTAATTAATGGTTGTTTTCTTCAATTCGTATTGGTTAGGGGCTAAAAGTGTCATAGTATAAGATGAGAGGCTAAAACTTACAAACTTATTAAGGTAAAAAACTAAAAGTAGGTTTTTGCCAAAAAGTTGGGGGTAGAAGCAGAGTGGCTGAGCTATTGGGATTTGGGAGAATAATGGCATGGCAGTTTAGATATCTAATTTTCAATTAACTGTTTTTAATTTTGGACAAATTAAACAAAAATAATAATAATAGGGTTGCTGCATGCTTAATTATATGAGCAATATTTCCTTTTAGAGTAGTCTAGGCGATTGAGACAAAACATGTATCATTTGTATATATTTGTACGCGTAGCATATGTATTGTTCAATCATTTGTTAGTTAGGCTTAATTATTTACACTCGATCGTTAATTTGTTTCATTGAGCAGTGCTAGGGGCACTCGCTGTCTGCACTCTCCGGCAAACACTTCCCCTTTCATTGGGCCATGTAAGCTTCTTTAAAGCTTTCAGCGCAACCTTTCGGAAACCAAAATAACGTGGCCTAATAAAAGAGAAAGTGTTGGCCGGAGAGTGCAGAAAGCGAGTGCCCCTAGCATTGCTCTTGTTTCATTATATTGGAGGTTTGAGTAAACATGCATCCATACATTTGAGGGACAGCAAATAACGTATCTATCCAATCCAAACAATTTTTTGAAGACCAAAGAAAAAACCTCAACATTGTTAGTCAAGGCTTTTTAGTCTCCAACAAACCAGTTTATCAATAAATTATTTTATAAGGAAAGAATATGATCTGTCCCTAGATAGAATGGACAAAAGACATACTATATATCAAAATAAGAATAAAAAAAAGAAAATACAGTGGGCGGACAGTATCATCAATTGGATTCTGAATGTTATGAGATCGATGTGTGCAGGAATCAACCAAAAGGAAAATCTACCATTCAAACTTAATTTGACTTATTTTTGAGATGAAAAAACATGACTAGGTCTCAACAATAAAAATTAAATTAAGTTCTAACTTGTCTTCAATAGGATTGGATAATCATTGGTCATGTGAGTCATCTGTTTTTAATTTCATTTTTATGACTGACTAAGTGATGCATGCATATATATATATATATATGTGTGTGTCTGCTAAGATTGTTCGCTGTTATGATTATTATATAATTTATAATGATGTTGACAAATATTGTCTTCATTCATTGTTCCATATATAATTAGTCAAGGATTATACCTAATGGCTAGAGAAATTCAAATATATATATATATATATATATTTGCTCTATCTTAACTTTATTGATCAATATTTATATTTTATGGTAAAGTCATAATGTAATTCTCTTATAAATCCCCTTAATCTTGACACATAAAATAAATAAACTACTTTGTCTTTTGATTGATGAAGTTCTGTTGATGTGTTGTAATTAAACTAATACCCCTCCATGATATGAAACCACTTGATAGTGTGGTAGACAAATTAAGAGAAAAGCATTGTATAAAATTAATAAATCATTGCATATTAATTTGCATGTAATTAAGGAACATATATATATATATATATATATATTCCATACTAACTAACTAGGTTATAGGAGTGAAGGCGTAATTGGGGTAGGACAATTGAATTGGAAGACTTTTGATATCTTGTTCAAAAGTGCTCATCTAGAAAATGGAAAGCTATCTGATTTAGTTCAAGCTCATTCCTACCATTGGTTGTGGGCAACTGGGTAATGTGGTGGTATTTTTTTCACAAACTGGATGCAAGAGTTGGCATTATTCATGAGGTTTGGGTTGATTAAGACGGATTCTAGAGGACACAAATTAACGATAATTTTATGTTATGAGTCTCTTTTCACATGTTATGAGATCGATGTGCAGGAATCAACTAAAAGGAAAATCTACCATTCAAACTTAATTTGAGGTATTAGCTATTGAGATGAAAAAACGAGACAAGATCTCAATTAGGAACGGAGCCAATGAAGGACAAGGGGGACAGCTGCCCCCCCAAACTTTTGAAAAACGTTTAATACGGTACTCTTAACTTTTATTTGTTAAAAATTTTGTGTTATAGTAGTAATTTCAAGGATCATTTAAAATATAGAGAGAATATTTATGATTTAAATAAAAAGTTTTCAAAAAATAAGGATATAATTTTAAATAAAATGAACTTTATGACAGTTTAATTAATTAGGAATTGGGATTCTTAAACATTTCCTTATCCATTAAGCTTCAAAAAAGAAAATTTTTGATTTTTGATTTAATCAATTTTAAATTTATAGTCTTCTTTAGTTTTTTTCTTTCTTTCTTTCTTATTATTCTTGTTGATGTGCCAAAATGAATGGAGTTGCCATCTAACTAAATGAGGTGGGATAGATCATCAAAATTTATGTGGAGATTGACTGGAATCAGAGGGTCAATTAAACGTGAGGAAGGTGTTAAACACCCCACAGCTTTCATATAATATGGTTACCATATACTTTTATTTTGAAGTATTTTCAATTCATAATAAAATGACAAAAATAGATTCAATTAACTTTAAAAAAACTAACAAAGAATAAATGCATAATTTCTTCAAAACTCTTACTATGTCAATTTCACTTTTAATATTCCAGTGAGTTCTGCTTGAGCAATAAACTTACAAACAAATTTTAACTTAAACCAAGATTTCCCACATACGCCATGTTTTCATACTAAAGTTACCTAAAAGAGAATCGCAAAGCAAAATTTCCTACCATGAAAAGAAAAATTCCGAAATGAGGAAAAGAAGAAAAGAAAACTAGTAAAATGAGCATAAAAAAACCTCAACAATCACCAGAAAATTGCCTACAATATGTCAGTTTAACTTCTTTTTTTTTTCTGCATTTTTATCTAAGTTTCATTAACTCTCAAAACATCTAAACTAGAACTTGGCAATTGACAGATATTAGAAACTAACCCAACGCCACTTTAAACATTAAATTTCCCATTTTGTTTTCCAATTCTACATTCTGTTTTTCAAATTCTTCACCTTCTATTTTTCTTTTTCTTTTTTTTTTTAATTCTGCACATTCTGATTTTTTTCAAAATTTTCACATTCTTTTTTCAACTCTGCAGAGTATGTTCCCTGATTTTGCACATCACTTATCCATAATAGGACCATTTCAAACACATAAATCTTATAACAAATTCCTATTATTATGGACAGAAGAAAAATTCACAAAAATTATAGACAAACCCAATCCCATAATTCAATGATTAATACATAGCAAAAATAGAAACACAAGAATTAAATCAAGTACTTTTCGAGAGATGCACACCTATAAGAAAATAAAAAAATTGAACTTTAATTTCTTGAAGTTTCAAATACAAGCTGCTGTACTACCCACTTTTTCTCTCTCTCAATCTCTAGTATTTCTCCTTTTTTTGGTTTTCTTCTCTTTCCCCTCTTTCTCGGTTTCTTCTCCTTATTACCTCCCTCTTGATCTCTCAACCTCTGCCCTCTCCCTTAGCTAGCCGAATCCCTTTTATAGACAAAGGGAAACCCAATCCTAATATGCTTCAAATATCCAATCCAAATCCCTAAGATAATAACCTAATTCTATTTGGAATGGGAATTCTTAGCTCTTCACACATCTACCCATTTTCAAGTCTAGATTCATACTTTTTATGCATTAGGACTCCCACCTCAAATCAATTTTGAACTCCTTGTAGTTGATGACTTGCGGTTTGTAGGTCCTATCCAAATCCTTCAATTGGCCGAGCTCGGCTTCGAAGAAATCTCCCTTGGTGTCGTGATTCACCCAAACAGAAGTTGATAAAAAAGAAAATTTGAGGGAGGAGGTGTGGCAAGAACAAACAAGAGAGGCTAGGGTTCAACTGAAATCCTAGCCTTTTATTTTTTAATTTAGCCCATGGCAAAACGACGTTGTTTTGCCATTTCCTCCTCTCAATCCTTCAAGTTTCCAGTTTTATAGAAATGGTCCATTGACCTCTAATTTTATCATTTAGCCCCTAATAAAAATTGGGTTATAACAATTCTATATAATAATTTAAAATTTTTATTATAGCATTGAGGTACATTTTTACCTTTCATGACTAAATTTATAATCATTTTGTTTTAAATCAATCCAAATTAGAGTTAAAAGAAATATTCTAGTATTTTTTTATAATATTAGTGTTTATCAATATGACCTCAAAAAAATTGGAAGGAAAATACCCTAAAATTACATTATTTCACTAAAATCAAAGCACTTTCATTCCTACTTTAAGAATATGTTGTTTTTGTCTTTTTCAAAGTGAGTTTATTATTATTTTTTTGATACATAAGAAGCTAAATAAAGCTAAGTCATAAGGAACAAAGTTCCTATACTGTCTCCATGGAGAATGCTCCCAATACCCACTGGTGGATTTGGAAAGAATGTGGTGCCTTGAGTAAGATTCTGGCCAATGGAGGCCATAAAATCTGTTGCCGAATTCCCTTCCCTTAAAGTGTGTTGGACTGTGCAAACCTTGAAGGAGTTTAATAGATGGAAAATGTCTGACAGTAGCACAGAAGCTAAGCCATCTCCAGCTTTCCTCGCTTGTATCATCTGTGCTGCTAAAAGAGAGTCCATCTTAAGGACCAAATGAGAAATTCTGAGATCAGAGGCTAACTGAAGGCCCGTGCGGCAACCCCAAAGCTCTGCCATGAAACTAGATTGTGGTCCAATGTTGATGGCAAAACCATGCAGCCACCGTCCTCCATGATCACAGATACTAGCACTGGCTCTTCCAGAGGAATGGTTCATCGCCCCATCTGTATTCAATTTAAGGAAGGGAAAATCAGATGGAAACCACCTTACCCACCTAGGTAAACGAGTATGAGCCAATATGTTTGCTGCTGACGCCAACGCTGTGTCAATTGCTATTGTGGAAGCTTGCTGGTAAAGAGTTTGGGG